CTTTAAAATAAATAAATCTTTTTTTAAAAAAGCAACAATTCACTGGGGATGAACGCTACCTGTGTGTTAAGCAAGTGAGGAGAGCCAGATAACAAACATTTGGAAATAATGCCTGGCAGAGAGCAGCTCTGGACAGCAGGCAGCGGGTTCTCCAAGAGCGTCAGGCAGTGGCATTTGATTCCACTAACATAAAGTGTGCTGGCCCCCGGTGCGTGGACTGGTGCTCTGCCACTCTTGCCAACCACCTTTGTCTTATCCTCTTTGCATGGTCCCAAGTCTAAGAAAACACTGGTTCAGAAGCAGAGGCTTAGGGTAAGCTAAGCGAGAACAATAGGATGTACATATAGTTATTTTATTCTGGTGTACACTTACGCTAATGAGGCCTACCTATTTCCTTATGGCCAGTCGTTTCATCAGTGACCCACAGGCCTGGAAAAGTCCTGTGACCCTGTGACTTCCCGCTGTTTCTTGAGTCTATCTCACCTTACCCCACCCCCAGTTTCTTGCCATGACATGCCCTTACTAGGTACCCATGTTTTCTTTTCTTTGTTTCATTTATGTATATTTTTAAGGCACAATGAGAGAAAGAGAGAGAGAGAGAGATGGATGGAGAGACAGACAGACAGACACACACACACAGATCTTCTGTCCACTGGCTCACTCCCCCAAACAGCCACAACGGCCAGGGCTGGATACTTCAAATAGTTCCAGGCTTTTGCTAGTATAAAACAGTGACTCGGGAGCCCTCTTGGTTCTAAAGCTAATGTCATATTTTGGAATGTTTCCTTATTAATGCATTCCAAGGTGTGGTATTCTTAGATAAACAAATAGGGAAATTTTTGTTTTAAGCTTCTTGAGTAAAGTTTCTCAAACTGTGTCCCCTGGATCACATGCATCAGGATCCTCAAGATGTTTATTAAAATATAGATTTCTGGGCCTCTCTCCAAGTATATGTGGTTAGAACCTCTGAGAAGTAGAGTCCAGGGGGCTATATGGCACACCAAAGTTTGAAAGCCATTGATCTATATACAAATAGCCAAGTTTTTACCAATAAGGAGCATACCAATTTCCATTCTCAACTGCATTTTTAAAATTCAGTGACCTGTTCCTCTCTCTACTCCCCAGCATTCCCCCACACACTTGCACATACATGTCCACTGGGCACATGTACATGTTCATGTACTCAGTGCATATCAGCATATTATAGGATGGGTCCAGGGTCACCCTCTTCAGCCTGTTGCCTCTATCTTAGGGTTTGAGCCACGTTTCCAGGGTCATGAGAAAACAGCAACTCTCAAGGAAGATTCAAAAGGCAAATACTCAGGCTGGAAAAGCAGCCCCTGTCCACTTGTTTACCCATTTTTTTTTTATTTGAAAGACAGAGTTATAGAGAGGGAGATACACACACACACACACACACACACACACACACCATCTGCTGATTCACTCCCCAAATGGCTACAATATCCAGGGATGGGCCAGGCCAAAGCCAGGAGCCAAGAGCTTCATTTGGGTCTCCCATGTGTGTGTAGGGGCCCAAGTACCTGGACCATCTTCTGATGCTTTCCCAGACCATTAACAGGAAGCTGGATGGGAAGTGGAGCAGCTGGGATTTGAGCTGGCCCCCACATGGGATGCTGGCGCTGCAAGCAGTGGCTTTACCCACTATGCCACAGCACCAGCCCCTCGCCCATGTTTTATACCTGAGAAACCAAGTCAATTTAGGAGAGCTGGATGGGGGGTGGCAACAGTGGCAGCTGTGGCCTATTCACTCTGAGTTCAAGATGGCCATTAACTGCTTCCAAATGGAAGTTCCCCAGCTTTCACACAAAGTTGGCCACAGGAAAAAGTGGAACACCCTTGCCACTCAGTGTCATAGGCCCATTGGCTCTGCAGCACATCATGGGGATGGAGTTAGATGTATCTGGATTTGAGTTCAAAACATGCTATTTGCTATCCATATAGCTTGGACAATTCATTTAACCTCTTAGAACTTCAGTTTTCCTTTACTGAAAAGCCATGTTGATAATTGCTACCACAAAGAGTTGAAGTATACAAAGCACTTAACACCGTATCTAGCCTAGATTGGGCCTTCAAGCAAGGATGGCCCCCTTGTCCCCTGGAGGCCTTCTGTGACTCAAAGCCAGTAAAGAGCCTCTTTCTTACCTGTGTTGTAGTACTTGGTACAATAGCCTAGATCCTTCTCATCTCGCAGGATGAACTGGGGCAGGGTCAGCCCCTCAGCCACTTGGACAGCAGGAGCATCTTCTAGCCACTCAAACACGAGATCATTCATGGTGTAGCCAACTACAAGTGGAAGATATGGCAGAGGGCCTCAGAGTGTGAATGATGGGTGAAGGCAGAGGTAGGGCTAGAACTAGCAGGAGAGAACAGATGAGGAGTAAGGCCTGCGTTTAGGAACTTCGTGCTCATATTTGAAAGGGAAGCTTTTCTGAAGCTGGTACTTGGGCAGTTATCCTACGCACCCATCCTAACTGGGAAAATCAGCAAAATTTCAGGCGCCTTTACTACCCATTCTCGAGCTTGAGAAAGGTCCAAAGAAAAATGATTCTGGCAGATCTAGAATGCAGGTCAATAGGATTGGAAAGATGTCAAGGACCCCAGCTGGGAACCTCCTGCCTTATCTCATGCCCAGGGGATTAAGCATGTGTACTGAACACATGTCTTGAGCTGAGCCAGCCTCAGAGCCAGGACTTCCGCCACTTCACCTCAGGGAGGAGAGAGCTATTTATATTCTGCCAGTCATGCATGGGACAATGTACATACCACAGACTCCTAGCCAGAGCCTTAAATTGGGGCAAATAGAGAGCTAATAGCTGAGCATGCCAAGTTGTTCACGGTTAGCTAGCAGTTAATGAAGGTTCATGCCACATATAAGGCCATATTCACACAGGTCTGGTAGAAATGGGAGCAGAGCACTGAGCTGAGAGATACCCAGTGTAGGACTCTGACCCAGAGTAACTGTGTGACTTTGGGAAACTTCCTTTTCCTTTAAATGGGGATAGCTGTAGTTGCTCTACCCATTTTTCAGAGTTGTTGTGAAGGGGTAATGAGAACCTGGATGTGAAAGTGGCTTATGCACCTTCTTCTCTGAGGACCAGGTGGGTGTCTCCTGATCCCACAGTCTCACCTCATCTACGAGATGGGGAAGGAGCGGAAATGAGTGATGTGTCACCCTTGCCGTGCTTCTTTGAGCAGCTGTGCAGGCTGGTGTCCCTGCCAAGGATGAGCACTGTCTTTTCCTGGAACTGTTCTTCCCTACCTCTCACAAAGGCCCTCTATGGAGATGGAGAAGCATGGTCCAGAGAGTACTCTCCCACTCTGCCTACAATGCAATTTTTATAGGCATCTTCAAGGTCTTGGGATGGGCATCAAGGTAGAACTGCTTCAGGCCCTGTGAGAAGGAGCATACTTTTGGGCAAAGGAAGTGCCCCTCAAATCTCCCCAGCAACCAGCAGAGGCACTTTTGTACATAATGCTGGGGCCTTCCCACTCCCTGGCCCTGTGGAACAGCCAGAGCAGCAAATAGTGCTGGGATGAAAAGCACATTGGACTGTTAGGGCTCCCTGGCTTCTGTTTGATCTGGGCCAAGAATGGACTGCATGGGCTTGGATAAGTCCCTGCCTAGTCTGGAATATTGTGGAATGGGGTGAACTGGCTGCTATTTCAGGCATTGAACTGTGACTGTCTTAGAAACACTTACAGCTCTCCAGCTGCATCGTGCAGGTCTGGATGTCCATCGGGAAGTTCTTGAGGTCCATTGGGCAGGACAAAATGAGGGTCAACCTGTTAGAGACAGGAAGAAAGACATGATTTCGGCTTCCTGGGCACTAACACAGCACAGGGGAATCCCCCTCCTGCCCCTTATCCATTTAGCTTCTTTCCCTTGACACACATTCTCCCAGCCATCCATCAGGTGCACCTGATGCTGTAGAGTACATTCCCATTCTTGAAGATGCGCAGTAACTTGTTGTCTGTGGTCACCTCATGGAAGTTGGCCCCTTTCTCATTGGCGAAGAACAGATCTGGCTTCCAGATAGAGTCCAGCATGGAAGGATCAAGGTCCAGAGAGTCATCAGGATATTCTCTGTAGGCCAGACGTGGGTCATTCCACTGCTGCCGCAAGAAGACATTCACCCTGTAGTCCTGGAAGGGTGCAGAGATGGGCCCATCAGAGGCCATGTGAGTCACAGAGGCCCAACAAGCCTACGTGGGAGGAAGAGCAGGAGGAAGAGCAGGAGGAAGCGCTGGGGCCACATCTCAGGGCCAGTGGTCAGTTTCCACTGGAGAAGGAACCTGCCTTAGGCTGATAATGGCAAAGCCAGGTGGGGAAAAGGCATTTATTTAAACGCTTACTGTGTGCCAGGCATTTTGGTAAGTGCTTTATCTGTATGCATCCTGTCACCTAAATCTCACACCAACCTTGTGAGGAGGGTGCTGTCACGATCTCCACTTTATAGATGAGAAACCAAGACAAAGAGAGATTTTTAGTAATCTGCCTAAGTTAGTGCAGCTACTAGATGGTAGAGTCAGGATTGGAATCTAGGTTTGTCTGGTTCCAAGGTGTGTGCTCTGCACCAAACTACTGAACACCTGCTGCTTAGGCGAGGCTGTCTTTAGTCATGGAAATGCAGCGATAGGGAAAACTGTCCTCCCAGTGACCAACCTTGGATATCCCATGGCTTTAGAAACGATCATATAACAGAGAAAGGACGGAGGAGGCAGGAAATGTCTGCTCTCGGGTGGGCTTCTCCCATTCACACTAGATTGGGAGCAGGGAACAGGGAGACCCCCTTACCATAGTGGTCTCAGTGACGGAGCCGAAACTGTTGATGAAGATGTTGCAGGTCACGTTCACGGGTGGGCCTGAGGGTAGCAAAGCACAGCCCATTGGCAGGGCATTCCAGACTTGGAGCAGGGTCCAGGACTCCCTCCTGGAGCTTTGTACCAGGGCGCTCCTGGCAGGAGGCAGTGCCAGCTACATAGGCCCCTGGGCAACAGTGTGGGGATGCTCCTTCTCAGCTGGCAGAACTAGCATGGGCTCTTAACCTCCTTTCCTTGGGGCAGGGCACACGGACTGGCTGGGTAGTGTGCCATCAGAAGTGATGGGGAGGGAGGGAGTTTTATAGGATCTATGTTTCCTACCTTTAAAATTGGGCCGAATCCTGGCATCGTAACCAGATGTGCGCCCCATAAGCTTGTCCAAGAAATCAGAAGGCGACATGGGCTGGGGCCCCTTGCTCCCAGATTTGACATCATCTTTTGCCAAGGCCACCCTGGACAGGAGAGATAAAGAAGTCTGAGACCAGTTGTATTCTTCAGTTATCACAGACTCTATCCATTCTTGTCCTCCCTCCCCCCTGCCTCTGGCTGCTCTCCCCATCAGGCAGGATAGGTGAGGTGGGACTCGGGTGCCCTCTTGCCAAATGAAGAGACCAAAAACAGCCATAAGCCCACATGGCAGCTCACCAGCTAGTCCTAGAAAGCAGCTTTCATAGAGTATATACTTTTCCTTTCACCACTCTCAGTGAGATGAGGGGAGGGGGAAGAGGTGAGGACTATTATATCCGCTTTACAGCTAAGAAAAGTGAGGCTTCAAAAGGAGTGACTTTTCCAAAGTCTTAGTGTTAGCGAATGACAAGGTCACAGTTCAAACCCTGGTCTACCTCAGCCAGTGTTCTCTTCCTGAAGGATTTTTGAAAGTGTTCAAAGAACAGTGTCTCCCTGGAGATCATGTGGCCACTGCAAAGTTTTGCCCATCTGGCCTCGCCAGGGATGGGAAGGTCCCAAGGAGACGACTTGGTTTCTGATGCTTGGGCTTCATGCCGGGCTGCTCAGAATCCAGGAAGATTTCTGTGGGGGAGGCTTGGTTTCAGGAAGTGATGGTTGGAGCTATGTTTTAGTTCAGGGAGGTGGCTGCTGTAAGCAGGTGAACTTGCTTTGAGAACCGTGGTGGGAATCTGGATTCTAGTAGTGCGGGCGTGTTTCCTGGTAGGGTAATGTTGAGAAGGTCAAATTCCATTGTCCCCTCTAACAGCTTGGTTTTGAGGAAGGGATCAAGGTGCTTTGGCCTAGCCTGAATGCCAGCCCTCTTCTCCTCTACAAGCCACTCCCCTAACAGCAGTAAAGCACCTGTACTTGCCTGCTTTCCAGCTTATCTGCCAACAGAGAGACTAGAGATCAGGATCTCAGCAGAGGCTTGGGTGCAGGGACACAGCTCAGGGCCTGGTGCTTCCTGCTCCATCATGCTGTCATCAGGGTGCCAGGCACTACAGCCAGTTCCTCCACGGCTGCTGCTGTGCTGTGCGATTGGCAGCAAGCTCACTGCTGTCCTTTTGGGTGCTAGTCTGCTTGGAGCCAGTGAGCTCCTTTTTCTCAGTAAATCCGTGTACCAGCCAGTGATGGATAACATAGTAAAAATAGCTAAGGCGCCCTGTGGAAGATGTTACACACCTCATCTAGATAAGTTCTCACATCAGTCTTTTGTGACCATCCTCATTGCAGTCATGCTTCAGCATCCACAGGGGGTTGGTTCCAGGACCCCTAAGGATACTAAGATCCATGGGTATTCAAGTCCCTTATATAAAATGGTTGAATATTTGCATAGAACCTAAACGCATCCTCTTGTACACTTTAAATCAGTTCTAGATTGCCAATCGTTCCAAATACACTATACTGTACTGCTTAGGGAATAATGACAAGGAAAACAACTCTAGGCAGCTTCAGTACAGATGCAAATTGTTTTTTTCAAATATTTCCCTTCTGTGGTTGGCAGAATCTTGGGATGTGGAACCCACAGATCCAGAGGGCTGATGGCTGATCAGTAAGGTGGAGTGAATGGTAAAGCCAAGATTTGAACCAGAGCTATTGACTTCAAAACTAAATCTGTGGACCACAATACCAGGATGCAGGAAGGTCAGTGGCAGCCCCGCTCTGACTGCCCAGAGTCCTGCCTTCTTGAATGTCCCAAGCAGGAGGAAGTCTTTACCCTGGAGACAGAGGCCACTCTGCCCTCCCCACCCCCCATCCCCGTCGCCCCCTGCCTTCAGCAGGGCCAGTCAAAGCAGGTGGCCTAAGCAGGCTCTGCAAATCCAAAGAGGCTAGAGTGGTGCTGGAGCGAGCAAAAGTCTGTGGCTTTACCCCAGGATGTCCACGCTGGCCAGGTGCTGCTGAGACCACCGCTGCTGCTGGCCATCTGCCATCAGCCTGCTGGGAGGCCACATGGCCCGGCACATGGAGCAACTGGACCCTCCCCACCATCCTTAGCCCCACTTTCAGGTCACCCCTCCACTAGCCCCAGTCCTAGGACCCTGGGTCAGACTTCAGGCCCAGCTGTCTACAGCCTCAACCCCTGTTGCAGCCCCCTCTTCTGAAAGCAGAGTCACTGTGTGCAGCCACTCCTTCCTCCCTTTCATTCCTGGAAAGTCCCATACACTGGCAAGACCCAGGAGGACACACTGCTGACTGTCCTTCTCAGGTAATGGCCTGGGTGGGGTGGGGGGAACGCTGATTCAGCCGATGGGCACCTATGTGACCTTGGACAAGTCACCCCCCCCCCTTCCCTAGGCATTAGTTTCCATGAATAAAGCAAAGGACTTGGACCCAAGACTCTGAGGGCCCATCTTGCTCTAATTGCTCATGGACTCCAAGCACAAGTGGGGACACGGCCACTGGAGCTGGAGCCGTGGGGCAGCCTCCCCTCCAGGAGAGCCTGCAAGGGCCAGCAGGGTACTGTTTTCTGCTAGAGCCCTCCTGTCAACTCCAGCTAAGCTGCCTTTGCATTCTGAGCTGCTTTGCCCTCTTAAGACGTTTACTGCTCTGCCCCATATCCTTGTCTACCTGCTGGCCAATGTGTCTGCTATCAGTGGGGCAGGAGGTTCCACAGAGGAAGCAGTTCTGGGGTGCTCCTTGGAGGAAGAGGAAGAAGAGGATGCTGCAGTGGGCACTCACCCCCTGCACCTCGAGAGGCACCCCTCTTATGACCAGTTCAGCACAAACCACAACTATCTTTCCTGCTCAGCGCACCCTGCCAACCTAGACTGGCTTCTGGTTTACTGAAAACAGGGCAGTCGCCGGGGAAGAGGACATTTCTAAGGACTCCCAAACATATCTTGCCTGCAAGCCCAGGAAATTAGTGCTACTCGGTGCTGCTGGAACGACAGTGAGCAGCCATGTGCACAGGGGGCAGGGTAACTGCAGAGGGCCAGGGCATGAGGAGCCCAGCCTCACCCTGCTGTGGTCTTTGGGCGAGACGCTGCTACTTGAAGCCCCTTGCACAGGCAGCTGACAGAAGTTGCTGTCATTTTTAGGGATCTGGGCCGTGCGTGGTCCACCATGTCAGGAGTCAGGCTTGGATGACAGGACAGCTGGTCTCCATCCTGGGGCTCAGCGACCTAATCTCTGCCCAGGACCAGGAAACGCCCCTCATGCAGAAGCCTTCCCACCAGCACCGGGGCCTTGATGTCTCAGAAAAGCTGCTGCATCCTGACTGGGGCTGGATGTGTCCTCCCCTGGAACCCTCCGGACTGTGGACTTTTGGCAAAGTTAGAGGAAACTGCCAGCTGCCCTGGCTGCCCCCAGCAGAGTTTGCATGCACCTCCTTCTCCCCCGCACTCAGCTCACCTGAGGAGGATCTGCCCTGGCAGGATCCAGAGGAGAAGGAAGGAGAGGTTTGCAGGAACAAGAGTTGTCATTTCCGTGGGGGCACCTTGGCGCCCTTTCTCAGCCTGGCTGCCAAGGTGAGAGGGGATATCCCTGTGGGAATGCCCAGAGAACGGCGCCTTCCTCCAACTTGGGCTGCTTGCAAGGAGCCCGTGGGGCTGGGCTAGGAGTTGTGCTCTTTTTCCTCTTCGGCCTCTTTCCTCTGCCCTGTCTTTATCGGTCACAGGCCAGAACTAGTCCCCTGAAAATGATCTTGACACAGACAACCCTACTGGCTCCTGCCTGGGCTCACCCTGGGCTCTGGAAGGGGCCTCAGCCTGCCGGCCAGCGTGCCAGCAAAGGTTCTCTTTGGGCAGCAATCACTCTCCAAACCCTGCCTGGAGAGTCTTGGAGGGGAGGGAGGAGGGAGACCGGTAGAAGATGTTTCCCTCCCTCCCACCTCCCCCCTGCATGCACCCTCCTAAAGCAGCAATTTAAAGGCACAGTCGCCAGCAGCTGGAGGGGGGTTCAGAGCAATGGCCGTGTGCCGTGTGCCGGGGAGGAGCCTGGGCTGCCGCCGCCGCTGATCCCCCGGAGAGGCAGAGGTGCCCTGGCCAGCCTCTAACTCTCCAGCTGGAAGAGTGCAAGCAGGCAGCCTGCTCCCCACCACCACCCCCACTCCCCCAACAGCTTTTCTTTCAGCCTGGAGTCAAGCCGGGGCTGATGTTTTAAGAGGGGTGGGAAGGATCTGAGAGGGTTTAGGTGGAGCCACTGGGTGTTCTCAAGCTCACAGCTTCAGGTCCCAGAGGAGGCAAGAAGGAGGCTGAGGGCGGGGGTGGCTTTCCCCCCATCCTCTATGTAGGTGGAGGCACAGACTATGAGGGACTCTGGAGCCCTCCTCAGATGTGGCCCTATGTGCCTGCCCCCAGCCCCTTCAGCTGGGTGCTTGTGCGTTCTTTCCCCTGCCCGCCTCGATCTCTTGCTCCCTCCTTGATCCCTCCCTCCCTCCCTCCCTCAGGTCGTGCCTGCAGAGCTTGGGACCCTGTCTAGCTCTCAGAATCCCTCTCTGACACCCCTTCCTCAGCCCTGCTTGTGGGGAGGCAGAACTGTCACAGGCAGGGGGTGGGCTGGGACACAGCAGGCTTGGCACGTGTCAGGGGAATGGCAAGGGGGCCAGGGATAGTGAGTAGCAGCCCTCAGCCCTAGAAGGAGGAGAGAAGCCAAGCGGAGGGTTGCCCTCCTCCCCTGCCTTTGCCATCAGCTTCCAGCGTCCAGGTGCTCCCACAGCCTCGTTTTCTTCTGCCTAGCCCATTCCCAGAGTTCCCAGGAGTGCCTCTTCCTCCCACCACCCCCCCAACTCCATTCCTCTGCTCCTGCCTCTCTCCCTGAAGTTTTCCCTCACCTATCCCCTCTCCATCTCAATCTCCCTCGAGGTGTCTTCTAGGAATCTTACCCTCTTCTGGGTCTGTCACCCTCTTCTCTTCTCCCTCATTTTCTCGCCATTCACGTTTTCTCTCTCAATCTCTCCCCTCTCCCTTCACAGTCACTCTCTCCTCCTAAGTGACAGCAGGGAGGTTTCATTTCTTTTTCAGTGAAAATCTCTCTGACCAGCTCTGCTGAGTGTGAATGCGTCCTGGGCCAGGGTTCTGTGCCACCTTACGGGGCCAATGTCAGAGCTGACTGCAGCCTCCCCAGCCTTGCCAGTGAGTGGTTTGAGGGTATTGGAAGCTCTTCTTTGAGGATCCATTGGTAACACAGAGGACTTAATAACAAGGCAGCCGTGGATGCATCTTGTGTAGCATCTCCTTTTTGACTGTGTTGTTAAGGAGGAGATATCTTCAAACCACAAATGGAAGGGAAAGAACAGGATTTTGAACAATACACACTAAGATATTGATGAGTAAGCAGAGCTTTTGGAATGGGAACTGAGACCATTACAAGCCTCAAATGAGGCCTAGATGGCCTGTAAATGCAAAGTGCGGATTATCCCAAACACATCTGCAGCTGCCCTTTCACCTGCTCCCCTTTCTGCTTTGTCTCCCTTAAGCATACCCATCCCCACTCTGTGGGCAGGGACTGCCCAGGCCCCGGAGCTGGAGGGAACATTCTCCTCCTTTGTGTAGTTCTCTCTCTCTCCCTCCCTCCCTCCCTCCCTCTCTCTCTCTGCTTCTGCCTCTCTGTAAATCTGCCTTTCAAATAAATCAGAGAGAGAGAGGGAGAGAGAGAGAGAGGTCTTCCATCTGCCGGCTCACTCCCCTAATGGCTGGAGCTGGACTGATCTGAAGCCAGGAGCCTGGAGCTTCTTCCGGATCTCCCATGTGGGTGCAGGGGCCCAGGCACTTGGGCCATCCTCCAGTACTTTTCAGGGCCATAGCAGAGAGCTGGATTGGAAGAAAAGCAGCCAGGACACAAACTGGTGCCCATATGGGATGCAGGCACTGTAGGCTGTGGTTTTATCTGCTATTTATTTGAAAGGCAGAGTGACACGCAGAGAGTGAGATGCAGAGAGAAAGAGATCTTCCATACCCTGGTTCACTTTCCAAATGGCCTCCACAGCCAGGGCTGGGCCAGGCTGATGATAGGAGATAGGAGCTCCATCCGGGTCTCCACTGTGGGTGGCACGGACCTGAGGACCTGGGCCATCACCCACTGCCTTCCCACATAAGTTAGCAAGAAGTTGGTTGGGGAAATGGAGGAGCGGAGACTCAAACCAGCACTCCCATATGGGATGCAGGTGCCACAACACTTGCCTTTACCTCTGACAAACATGATCACATCATCCCACAGCCTCAACAGTTCCCCATCGCTCTCAGGCTGCAGTCCAAGACCCTGTGTGATCTGGCCACTCTTCGCACCCCCCTGATGCACCCAGACGTTCTTGTCCTGCCTTGCCATTTCCCGGTATTTTCACATTTGCATGTATTTGCTTTGCTCAGAGCACACTTGCCTCCACTCTTACCTTTCTGGAATGAGTTCTGTTGTCATGTGCTCGAGGAAGGCTTCTTGAGCTGAGCTACCATCGGGAGGTGTGAATTAGAGACCCTCACCATCCTCCGCACAGTGTGCTCCGTCTACCATGGTCGCCTGCTTCTTGCCTCTCACCCCTACTATAACATGAGCTCCCCAGAGCACAGGCACAGTCTCCCAGCAAAGCCCCAGCATGGAATCAAGAAGTTAGGGAGCGTCTGGTCAAAGATGCGTCCTGGGCACCCAGGGATACTTCCTTGAGTTGAGTGCCTCTGCGTGTTTCTCTGTCAAAGCTGAATGGTGAGTCTCTCTCTCTCTCTCTCTCTCTCTCTCTCTCTCTCTCTCACACACACACACACACACACAGAAAGCCAGCATGAGGGATTGGTAATGAGGAGAACGAAGGAAGGAAGCAGTTTTCATTGCTTTGCCCCTTAGGCTTGTGGCCTCACACTCAGTCATCCGGAATTCTTGGCTAATGGAAGGTATAGGCCCCTGAGCACTGCTTCATTGTCTCGGGTCTCACCTCCTGAGTGCCCCCATGGGATCCCTAAGTGCTGACAGCATAGCAGGGACAGCTTTCTGGCAGGAAAGAGTCCCTTCTTGTGAGAGGCTGCAGCAATGAACAAATGTCTGGCTGCCATGAACAAGAGAAGCAGCTTTTCTCAGGTACTGGAAGCACAAGGGAGACCAAGAGCGAGTTGACAAGCAGCAGGGGATGTCCCTATTCAGAGTTCCCCCCAGCGAGTTCTCTAGGTTTCCCTGTACCGAAAGGAAGCTACAGTCTCTAAAGATGACCTCGGCATCAGTGGCCTGTGCTGTGGCGTAGTGGGTTAAAGCCCCGGTTTGCAGAACCGGCATCCCATATGGGTGCTGGTTCGAGTCCTGGCTGCTCCACTTCCAATCCAGCTCTCTGCTATGGCCTGGGAAAGCAGTAGAAGATGGTCCAAGTGCTTGGGCCCCTGCACCCATGTGGGAGACCTGGAAGAAGCTCCTGGCTCCTGGCTTCAGATCGGCTCAGCTCCGGCAGTCGCAGTCATTTGGGAAGTGAACCAGCGGATGAAGACCTCTCTCTCTCTCTCTCTCTCTGGCTCTGCCTCTCTGTAACTCTGTCTTTCAAATAATAATAATAAAAAAGATGACCTCAGCATTTTCTGCTGTGGGAAGGGTACAGAATTGGCCCAGTCTTTGCCACCGTAACTTTTTCTTGTCTCATTACCAAACTACAGCCTCTGGGAATCTCCTTGTTCCAAAATCTCCGTGTTCTACTTCCTGCTTCGCAATTGGCTGCCACACTGGCCCCCAGAACTGGCTTGATTGCAGTGTTGGAGGTGGTGTCAGAACTACAACAGGCAACATGGTTTTCAGGATCCAAGATTTTATTGCATCATGAAAAAAAAAACACTACTGAGTTGCTAAAAATGGATTAAGCCTATTTTCATAAATGTTTCATTCCAGGGAAGAGTCTGTCACATTTCAGCCCTATGCAGGGAAAATGGCAACTGCACCCTGCTGACAAGCAGTCTTCCTAAACCCTGTCCGAGGAGCAGCTTGTGTGTGCTGGGATAGGCATCGTTTGGTAAATGCCCTGATGTCTAGAGCCCTAGGGCTGCACTGGGGCGGGAGGCAAAGTTGGAGAAGCATTTGGCACACCTTCCTGGACCCAGTTCCAATGGCCTGGCAGCATGGCTCCCTTCCAGCCAATCTCACCTATTGCTGACGGGTTTGAAAGGTAGGCTGTGTCTCCAATCTGAGGAAGCTCTCAGAGCTTTAGCTCCTTTTTAGAGACGTTGTGATGAGAAGTTGGAAGGGATTTGAAATAAAGGACAGATGCCTTTTTAAAAAATCTGCTGACGATGACCCGGGTGTTTCAGTTGGATCTCTAAGGAGCAAAGCTGCATCTTTTTGCTGCATGTGGATTTTTCTTTTCAGGGTCATTTTCAGCTTTCAAGGATGTGGTCGTTTACTTGCAAGCAGGGGCTCCCCTTCTGGTGTTCAGGAGCATGGGTGACAGAGGCAGAAAGGTTTTTCAGTCTCCAAGGTTAAGGAGATGAGGCGGCTGTGTGATGGGGCCAGTAAAGGTGTGGGAGTTGCTCAGCCCTACACTCAGCCGGAGTAAGGAAGAAGGACAAAAAGGCAGATGTGTGAGGCACGTTCTGTGTTTTCCTCACTTTCCTGGTTCAAGTACCAGGCTTCCTTCTTCTTTATAGAATGTTTCAGGCCTGAATTTTGCCAACAAATCCTGAGGCATCTGAACTTGGAAGAGGCACAAGATGTTACCTGAGCTTCTCCTAGTCCCTCAAGGCAAACCAAGTGTCAGCAGTATGTTAGCACCTGTGAACCATGGGCCTTGCCTCTGTGACTGGGCTGTCTGTTCTATGTCCAGGAGCAAATGGGAGCGTGGGGCTCTGGCTAGGGCAGGTGCATTGACTGGACCCTCAGAATTATTACCCATCTCATCAACCACTTCACAGCAATTCACTAGTCGTGCAGAAGAGTTTCATTAAGGTTTCCACAACGTTTGCATGGACTTGTCTC